AAAAAAAAAAAAAAAAAGAACCAAATGTACAGGACTCACTTTCAGTTCAGAAAGTTATTTCATAAAGAAAAACCAACAAAACCTATTTTGGGCATCTGGTTCAAAAGAGCATGATCATCTGTATACACTCCACAACAATGCAAAGCCATAAGCTGGAGAGGAGAAAACCAAGGGCAAGGAAATTGAAGAGTCCTTAAACTGCAAACTACATTTATTTTTATATCAGAAATGATTTCTCCACCTCAGCATAAAGAAACTTAACTTTTAGTTTGTTCTTTTGGGAATGGATTCCAGCCTTGAAATAGGAAAGGCAAACAATAGGCCTTGAATTAAAAGGTTCAGTGAGAAATCAACATGTAAGAAAGGAACCACTGGGTAAAGTTCATGTAAACTAGAAAGCTGTTACTCTGGCCCTACAGAGAGTTCAGAAAAAGGTGTCCAAAACTTATACCAAGTTTGAGTGGGGGTTTACAGGGATGGGGTATATGGAGTGTTAGGAAAGAAGGGAAAACCCAACCAGAAATACTGTTAGGGACCAGAGAAAAACCACATGGGGGCTCTAATTAACCTTTTAAAAAACTTAACAGCGGCTTGGCACCTGTGGCTCAGGCACCAGCCATGTATATCCAAGGTGGCCGGTTCGAATCCAGCCCAGGCCTGCCAAACAACAATGACGGCCGCAACCAAAAAATAGCCGGGCGTTGTGGCGGGCGCCTGTGGTCCCAGCTACTCGGGAGGCTGAGGCAAGAGACTCGCTTGAGCCCAGGAGCTGGAGATTGCTGTGAGCTGTGATGCCATGGCACTCTACCCAGGGAGACAGCTTGAGGCTCTGTCTCAAAAAAAAAAAAAAAACCCTTAACAGCAAGGACCTTTGGAGGTGGTGATGGTAGTTAACCTCTTAAATCTCTGGATTTTTTCCCAGCAATCCTTCCATAACAGAATACAGATTAGGTTAAGAGGCTTTCCAATCAAGAAGTAGATACAGCAAAATTAGGCCCCTGGGAGGAGATGGTATTAACATGATTAAATCCCAACTACAGAAGGAACCTACCAAATGAGAATTGAACCATAACTAGTAAGACCATGCCTACCTAGACAACAAAGCAAACTTTAAAACTCCCAGGCAAGTAACACTAATTCACAGGCCCAATCTGGGTTGGAAAAGCTGCAGTAACATCAGAGAATGAGATAATATACTGAAATACCCATGAACAGGCCAGGCATGGCAGCTCTAACCTATAATCCTAGCACTCTGGGAGGCTGAGATAGAAAGATCACTTGAGCTCAGGTTGGAGACTAGCCTAAGCAAGAACTAAACCTGTCTCTACTAAAAAAATAGAAAAACTAGGTGAGTGTCATGGTGGGCTCCTATAATCCCACTTACTTGGGAAAGTGGGTCATTTGAGCCCAGGAATTTGAGGTTCTGAACAGTTGTTGGTTTGCTTTTTTTTTGAGGCACAGCCTCAAGCTGTCCCCCTGGGTAGAGTGCTGTGGCATCACAGCTCACAGCAACCTCCAACTCCTGGGCTCAAGTGAGTCTCCTGCCTCAGCCCTCCAAGTAGCTGAGACCACAGGTGCCCACCACAACGCCCGGCTATTATTTTTCTTTTTTCTTGGTTGCAGCCGTCATTGTTGCTTTGCAGGCCTAGGCTGGATTTGAACCCGCCACCTTAGGTGTATGTGGCTAGCACCTTAACCACTTGAGCCATAGGCACTGAGCCGTTTTTTTTTTTTAACAAGAACAATTGTTTTTTTAAAACCATCTCCCATAGGATGGGAGGAAAAATAATTAGAGAAAAAACTCTACAGTTGAGTTCTTTAATATCTCAGAACATTTTATTTTTGGGACAATGGCAAGGTATGCTCTGGTTGATTATGAGGAATGTCAGAGGCCTTCTGCCATTATAACACTTAAGACTATTTCATGAAAAGAGACCAGTGCCCATTTGATGGTAATAAAATCAACAGGGCTTCTGGGAGGTTAGTACAACTGAGTAAAAGTAAAGCACAAGTTGTTAGTTCTGGCCAGTCACTCATATGATCTAAAAATTTAAATTTTTTTAGGTCTACTTATTATCTGTTAAAAGAGGAGATCAATGAGTTACAGATTAATTGATCCATAAGCATTTAATTTCCTAATGATTAATAATGGTTATGGTATTGCTGGATGTTGTGGCAGGCACCTGTAGTCCCAGCTACTTGGGAGGCTGAGGCAAGAGATCACCTAAGCCCAGGAGTTGGAGGTTGCTGTGAGCTGTGACGCCATAGCACTCTACCAAGGGCAATAAAGTCAGACTCTGTCTCTAAAAAATGGTAGTAATAGTAATAATAATAATGGTTTAGGTAAAGAAAAAGAAGGGTAGGACAGAGAGTATGAAAAAAAGTAAAGAACTGGCCAGACATAGCAGCTCAGACCTCTAATCCTAGTAATTTGAGTGGCTGAAGTGAGTGGATTGCTTAAGCTCAGGTGTTCAAGACCAGCCTACTAAAAATAGGAAAAACTAGCCAGGTATGGTAGCACATGCCTATAGCCCCAGGTACTTGGAAGGCTGAAGCAAAAGGATCACTTTGAGCCCAAGAGTTTGAGGTTGCTCTGAGCTACTATGATACCATGACATGACCCAGGGTAAGAGTGAGACTCTGTCTAAGAAAACAGGTAAAGAGACACTTGTAATTCTAGCACTCTAGGAAGCCAAGGTAGGTGGACTGCCCTGAGCTTGTGTCTTGACCAGCTCAGGTTCAAGACCAGCCTAAGCAAGACTGAGACCCATCTCTAAAAATAGCTGGGCTTACAGTCCCGGCTACTCAGGAGGCTGAGGCAAGAGAATCACTTGTACCCAAGATTTGGAGGTTGCTGAGAGCTATGACACCATGGCACTCTACCCAGAGTGACAAAGTGAGACTGTCTCAAAAAAAAAAAAAAAAAAAAAAAAAAAAAAAACAGGTAAAGAATCTTGATTTAATCGGAATTAAGGATCACTGGAGAGCACTCTTTCAAATTATGGGCAAGGAAGCCAGGCTCGGTGGCTCATGCCTGTAATCCTAGCACACTGGAAGTCCAAGGTAGGTGGATTGCTTGGACTCACAAGAGACCAGCCTGAGCAAGACACAGGCTCTATTAAAAATGGAAAATCTGGCTCGGCGCCTATAGCTCAACCGGCTAAGGCGCCAGCCACGTACACCTAAGGTGGCGGGTTCGAATCCCCAGCCCGGACCCGCC